GCCCTGAAGGATTTTAAAACATCCTTCAGCCCCACCAGCTGGGCCCTGAAGGATTTTCAAAAATCCTTCAGCCCCACCAGCTGGGCCCTGAAGGATTTCAAAAAATCCTTCAGCCCCACCAGCTGGGCTCAAAGGATTTTAAAACTCCGACTGCCCCACCAGCTAGGCCCTCGAATATTTTAGAAAATCCTTCAGCCCCACCAGCTGGGCCCACCGCCTGGTCCTTGCTAAAACGAAACTGTGGGTGCCCCTGTTGGGAGCGACACCGAGCTGCAGCTGATCCCTAATTGGCTGATTCTGTATAGGGTACCCTAGGGTTTAGGGTTTAGGGTTTTGGGATTTAATTGTTTATGGCTTTTGGGGTTTTAGGGCTGTAGGGGTTTAGGGCTTTAGGGTTTAGGGCTGTGGGGGGTACCCTTATAGGACCTCATGGCTGGTTCTAGTCGGCGAGACTCTTTTGAAAGCATGTAGCTGTGGCCAGATGCCATGCCGTGAAATCGGCAGGACTGGGTCGCAAAAACACCCATGGCTTGAAACATCACCTCATAGTAACCCCCGAATTGTAATTCTCTAAGGCTTACTAGAAGGGGTACTGTACCCTGTACAGTAATCCTTGGAGTAATCCCTTTACGGTACCCCTGCTGGAAACCCTAAATCTTAAACCCCTGACCCGTAAACCCCTAAAACCCTAAACTCTAACATCTAACCTCTAAACCCCGAAACGCCTGAACCCTAAACCCCTAAACCCAAAAACTGCCCCTTTTGGTAACCCTCCTCTTTGCCGCCCAAGGCGGCATAGAGGCCCAGGAGCCACCAGCCGCTGCCACAGCCGGCCAGTGCCAGCGAGGCGCCTTCGGAGCTTTGGGTTAAGGAGTCTGGGGGTTTAGGGGGTTTAGGGAGTGTTTAGGGGTTTAGGGTTTAGGGTTTAGGAGTTTAGGGTTAGGGGATGTTAGGGGGTTAGGATCTTAGGGTGTAGGGGGTTCAGGGTTCAGTGTTTAGGGTTTATGGGCGCTTCTAGGAGCTTCCCCAGCTCTCACCAAACCTTCTCTGCACGGCTTACAATCGGATGGACAGCCAGCCAGGCAAAGATAGAGAGAGATAGATAGACAGACAGAGAGAAACATGCATAATGCACGCATACATACATGCCAGCAGCTCGTTAGCTCGGGGTTGGATTCACGGGACAGGGTCGATTTGCTTCTTGGGCTTGTTAGGGGTTTTAAAGGGGAGGTGCAGGGTTCAGGGTATGAAGCTCCTCGCTTTGGGTTTAGGGTTTAGGGTTTTAGGGTTTTAGGGTTTTAGGGTTTTAGGGATTTAGGGATTTAGGGTTTAGGGTTTAAGATCCAGTGTTCCGGGTTGCAGTGTGCGTGGTAGTGGGAAGACCCGGCGCTCACCGGCTTTTCGAAGGGTCGGCTGTGATACTCGGGCTATCTAAGGTTGGAGTTGATGGTTCGGCGCTGAGGTGTTCCCCTGCGTCTTCACATTAAAGGGGCCTGTTACACTCCCGGCCATCGTGTCGCCCGACGGAAAGGAGGCACCGTCCTCAGCAACGAGCCCGTGGAAGTATGTTTACTTTCAAACTCGGCCGAACATCAGTGCTGGTGAGCACAGATGTTCTGTCTGAACATTCTATACTGATCGCTGCGAACCGTATAGCCTAAACCGTCTTCCAATCATCTTTGCTACTCTTCCCCTGTTGTTGCATGAGCCGTGCAGCTCCTTATCATGTTGTGATATTGCTGTTCTGCTTCTACTTCTCACGGTTGCTATGGAAGGCTTCATGACCCATCCGAGCTTCATTTGGGGTCTGATCTTGGGCAGTGGAGTGCCAGCAGGGTTCGGGAGGCAATCCGCCACCTTAAATCCTGAAGCTTCATGGAGGATTAATGAATGTTCGCGCCCCAAACCGACGGTCCTGTACCATAACCATCAGTGGCTCATGAGTTGCCAAGCTGCCGCGTGTGTGTCCGTTATGATGATGGTGCGGAACATTCGCTTCACCTGAATAGCTCCGATCGCTATTCATGAGCGTGATGCGGATGTTTCTGGAAGGCGGATAATCTCCGTGAGAATCATGATGATGGTGATGGATGAAGATGATGACGATGATGAGCAAATCAGCGACGGCTACCATGATAAATCACATCGTTGGCGATGTGCAGAGTCACAGGAATTCAGAAAACCACGGTGACAGGTAGGCGCAAGCAACAGGAGCAATGCCTTACGTTACTGTCGCTGATGTGGTTTTTGCTGTTCTTGTCACTTTGAACAGTTGTTGATTGGTAAAAAAACGGTAAACAGGGCAGCAGCAGCAGCAGCAGCAGCAGCAGGTACCATGGAATCAGAGATGCCATCATCGTTGTACCACGAGAGTGTTCCTCATCACACCATCTTGGCGAACGGCTTACGACACAACAGCATGAATAGCCATGCTTGTTTACAATCGTTCCATCGGCTGACACGCAGCCAATGACGAAACGGCATCCTGCACAGATGCACGATTATTGTTTCGTGATCCGCATCGACGGTCCTCCTGGTCCTCCTCCTCCTCCTCTCCTCCTCCTCCTCATCCATATTAACCGTCATCATCACCATGCTCAGACAGAATCCTCGTGATTGTCATCAGCCTCGTCAACACATCCCAACACACATCTCTATGTTTTGATTGCAATTCCAGGTCCTCATTATCCTGACCCAAAGACTCCAATATCCCTTAATTCAGGAATATACTTTAAATCTTATTAGGATTCCTATTATAATCTAAGGTATATTCCTTAATTCAGGGATGTTGGAGTCTCTGACATTGCTGCAGCTGCGGAGCATCGTCAGGTGGTACCGGTCTCTCACGCTGAAAAACCAGCTTCAAGATGCGATTGAGCACTTGGCCGTAGCACAAGGCAAACCTGCAGCGCACAATTTCAAGGACAACAAAAGTCTCGTCTGTGATAGCCAACACGAGTTTCAAAATGAACTATGCGCATTGATGAAATGCAACGACGCAGGCTACATTTCAAGCCACAATGTTGGCCACAAGCGTAAATTTGCACACAAAGCGCAAGGGAGAGCACGTGCGAGAAGGAATTTTTCGTACGCACATGCGTACCTGCCTGCGTGTGGACGCATACATGCCTGCCTGCAGGCTTACGCATGTTGATGTGTGTCAGTGGTGCAAACGAGGTATACGCATGACTATGTCTATGTGTAGGTGTGCCTACAGGTGTTCCCATACGATTCTGTAGAATTGATTTACAAGTGCATGTTTACGTATCTGAAAAGCCTGTAGAAATCGGTAGGTAGGTAGGTAGGTAGG